CAGAGGACACGGTAAGGAAACTACCATGGAGGGCCCACACCTCTGTTCCTCAGGGAGGCCCTATGGAGAAGGCCCCACACAGCACTGCTGTGGCCAGGCAGCCAGAGTAGGAGAGGTTTGGCTGGGGAGGTAGAAGGCGGCCCCTATCTTGGAGAGCAGGTTGCCTGATGAGACCACAGCGGCTGGGGCAGCCTGTCAGCTCCTGTGTGTGTGCACAGCCGGCAGCAACACAGTCCTGCCCATGTGGATTGTTCAGTCAAGGCAGACAGAAGCTGGATGCAGGCAGTACACAAAGGAGGAGGTGAGAGGACAGGGCAGGCAACACCTTTTATTAGCATCTTCAATTTCTTTAAAGTAAGCACCTCCTAAAATCAAGTGTGATGAGTTAACCCGGCATCTGCCCCTGGAGATGCTCTCACAGGGACCACCATCTCACCTGCTCTCTGTCCCCTGCCCTGTTGTACTGCCCATCAGCCCAGGCTTCTTCTCACCTGGCTCTTACAGGCAGGGAGACATTGATTCTGTTTTGGTAATGCCTTCTAGCTAGAGTAGAGAGTTGGCCAGTGCAGAGGTTCAAAATGGTCTTCAGGGCTGGCCCTGCCCCAGGTACACATACATGACCCTACCAAACCAGGAACTAGGACGCGAAGGGGATCCTGGCTTGGTCCCAAGACCTGAGCTGAGCACCTCATCTGGAAAAGATTTCGTGACCGTGCCCTTTCTCTGGGCCAGCAATCATCTGATTTCAGCTCTTGTTGTCAAAAGTGTCTTCTGAGGGGACACCCCTTCCCACCCTTGTAATCATGGGTTCTGGCTTTTTTCCCTTTGGTCTTATGGTGTCAAGTAGGGACCAAAGATCTAGAGAAGCACACCTGTGTTCTGCACCTACTCTGAGGCTGTTCTGACTCCCCCCATTGCTGCATTCCTGGGGACCAGTTCTGTGCCATCAGTCCCTCTGAGCCCCGTGAGGCAGAGCCACCTGTGGATGGCAGCAGCCAGCAGCAGAAGTGCCCTCCAGTTTGTTTCAGACCTGAGGGGCATGGTGCAGGTGTCTAGAGCCTTGAGTCTAGCCATGGCAAGGGAGGGTCTAAGCACCCCCCGTGAGGTGTCCAGGGGGAAAAGGTCTCTTCTTGATGAGCAGGAAGCCCTTCCCTCTCCTGCTGTCTCCAATGAAGCTCACTGTCTTGACTCCCCTGCAGCCTGCTCCAGCAGCCCTCTCTTCAGGTCCCGGATGGTGGCAGGCAACCAACGGATGACCCAGTCCACAAATGAGTGTGCACACGCATCTTGTTGTGCTGTAACAGGCTGAAAGTCTGCAGTGGGTACTTGCCTTGTTTGGTGCCACATTCACAGCTGTTTTAGAACTAGGTGCATTTGTCATTCTTGCAGCAACCCAGTGGGTCAGGAGGAAAGCACCACACACACACATTACAGATGAAGACTGCTCTGCTAAGGGTCTAAGACCAAAGCTCACTGGGCTGCATGAGCAGGGACAGGGGCACACTGTGGCCACATGACCCATGTCCAGGGCTCTCTTTGTTTACACCCCGGCTGCCTGTCTTATGCTCTCCCCCCACTGGGAAAGCCCAGTGTGCTGGCGGGGGCGGGCAGTGGGAGAGTGGTTGAGAGGACCCTGTACATGACTAAACCATGCTGTGGGAGTGGGGGGTGGCCATAGTGAGCCTGCTCACTGTGGTGAAGCCCCAAATGGCTACACTGGTGCAGGGCTTGTCCCATGCCAACTTTGTGCTTACAGTGTCTGCAGCCAAACTGCTCAAGTGTCTGCAAGGCATTGTCCTCTTCTGGCACAGGAGTTGTAACATCCAGTGTATAAATCTCAACACCATTTATTTAGTGAGATTTACTCCCTCACTCTACCATCCCTACCCTCCAAATTGGGTAATGGACAGGGTCCCCTGACCCACTCAGAATGATGTACCCTACCCATTCCTGACCCGTTCCAGTGTGTAGGACTATGTCTGGTCCCTCAAGATGAGTCTCAGGGCTCGGAACAAGGTACTCTCCCCTCCCACCCCCCTCCAGTTTCCAACAGACATTCAAGCACTGCCTGGAGAGTGACCCTACAGATATTCAGGCATCCGCTTCTCCACTCCATGCCTTGCTTCTCAAGGTTACTTGGGGGAAAGTAACCCTGCCCACCACCTTACTGTATGCCCAGTGATCATTCAGGATGTGGAGTGAATTCTCCCACCCACAGATATCACTGTGACCCCAGGGCCTTCACACAGACCCCCTTCTGTGCTAAGCAGCCAGAGTGTGGCTTGCTTTTCAGTCTTCCTGGACTTTCAGATGATGTGAACCCTAAAACTGCACATGCATTCTGGAGCCAGACCTTTTGCCCACGGAGAGAACCAGAGGCCACTGTGGACTGGCTCTGGAATGTAGAGGCCTCAGCCCTGCGAGGTGCAGGTCCTTCTACCCAGAAGCCTGGAGAAGGGGGCCCACTGGAAATTGGGTGTTAAATGTCTGCTGACTGTGCCCTCTAGTGGGAACCCAGCAACATGCTCCTCTGCCCCTGTTGGGGATATTTGCAAGGTGTGATGTGCAAGTACGTTGAATGTGCACGTGGATTTGAAAACCGAGGACTAACATAGTCCCTTCCTCACAATGACATTAGTGTCATTGGGTGGCTGAGGTTCAAGAGGAACTGCTTGCTGCTTGCTGTGGAATTCCATGCCTGCCTCCTTACACACCAGAGTGGGAGAGGCTGCCAGGGATGGCCAAAGCATCCTCTTGCCAATTCATCCTACCAAGGAGGGCATTTCTGGACTCATTGAGTGCACTACATCCCGTCTTCGAGGCCATTGCCTCGGGGTGTATCAGGCTGTGAGCGGCTCTTTCGGAAGAAGCCCCTTCCAACATCTGCCTCCTCCACTCCCCTAGATAAGTGAGCTTACCTAGCATCTTACTGCACCCACATCAGGCTAGTGGAGAAAGAAGCCAAGAAAATCCCTCCCTCTTCTCCTGTGCCTCCCCATCCCCACCCCATCCTGTTAGCCTTAAACAGAACATCCTAGTCCCCTCCCTTTGTGGAGAAAGAGGGGCCTGCCTGCCAGGGTGAGCCTTTGCATCTTCCTGAGTCAGAAAAAGGAAAAGCATGTTGAAGCAAGATAATAGTCCACCTTTGGAATATCTCGGCTTGATGCTGACCTCTGTGAGTGAGAGGGACCAAATGTTATCTGCAAGTTTAATCTTCTGTATTCAAAAATCCCCTTTGTCTGCCCAGCACATTTCCAAATCGACCATTCAGTGGCTCTCAGCCCGTGTGATTTCTTGTTCTCTTGAACCTGCTGTCTCTACCAGCCAGCTGGCACCTTCAAAGGGGCTCACTCCAAGGCTCCCTGCCCCCAGGCCATCTGCAGGCAGCTGGACTTCAGTTTTCCACAGGCCCCGCTGGGTCTGGTCTTTTTTGTGTCTTGAGTCTCTCAGTCTCCTGCCAGCCTGGCTGGGGTGCATCTTCAGTCTCTTCTCACCCCTGGGACAAGTGGGTGGAAATCCATCCATTCAGTGCTGGCTTCCTGAGGGCAGTGCCCAGGCAGGAGGCACGGAATGCCACTTCCTCTGAAGGCACTTGATACCAAGGCCAGGGGAGAAGCACTTGTGGGGAGCTGTCACCACCCCACATGCCCAGGCCTGCCTTGAGGTTTACGGATCTGTGAGAATGACTTTTGCAGTTGGAAAAAAAAAAAAAAAACATCTTTTGGGTTTCCATTTTGGGAAAGAAAATAAAGGTCAAACTACTAAGGGGCAGTACAAGTGAAACAAAATTAGCCTTGTGGACAGCTTATGGCCAGGGAAAGAGCAAAGGGACTTGGGAGATGCAAGGGGGTGCCTGAGGCAGTGACACCTGCCACCCTGCTCCCTGCACCTCCACCCCCACCCCCACCCCCAGATGCCTCACGTGCCCTCGGAGCCTTCTTGCCTCCGTGGGCAGCGCCGTGGGCACTGAGGCTGGACATGCCGTCTCTGGGAATCAGTCCTGTCGGGGTGCTCCGCATTGATGCTTGTCTCTCTTTTTTGTTTGTTTTAAACAAAAGGAAGTAAAAAGGTTAAACCCCCTTTCCTTCTGCTGCAGGAGGTGAGTGTGTGGGTGCCTGTAGGACCCCTGGCTCCCCGCCAGCCTTACCCAGCCTTAGGTCTCCCATCCCCACCCCACCCCTCCCTCCATCCCCTGCTCTCCACCCCCACCCCTGAAAGGAACCCCTCCGCCGCCATCATTACTGTTGTGTTCAGATGCCCAGCCTCTCATGACATATCCCATCCTCCGACCGTGGCCACATCAGTGGTGCCGGCTTTCATGCAGGGGCGGCCATGGGCCGGGTGGGGTGGGGAGGGAGTAGCCAGTGGGGAGGGGGGTGGAGACTGTGCAAAATGGATTTGTTTTTTGTCTTTTAACAATTTTTAAAAAAATTGATCATTTGATGGATCCAAAAAACAAAAAATACAACATGCACACCAAAAACAAAACAAAAAAAATTTTTAATTCCCTCCCAGAGATTTTTTTTTCCTGGACACAAATTGCTTTGTTTCCTGTCACATTTTAATATCAATATTAACACAATGTGTAGTCTAAAACTAGTTCCTTTGTAGTTTGCATGGGATGTGAATGCTGTCTCAGCGTGCCCAAGTCTAGAAGACTGCATGAGCATCAATTCAGATGTGAAAACAAATCTCTCTCTCTCTCTCTTCCATATATCTCTCTATTTCTATTGTGATAATTTGGTGGGCAGTATAGCACCTCCGGTTGGTTGCCGTAGTGTGTTGAATGATTGTTTTTTTCTTCTCTCTATTTTCGGAGCTCCAAGCTTCTTAGTAGTAGCCTGGGCTGAGTCTTCTTGAGTCCCTGCTGATGTTTTCGCATGGCCTTGGTTGAGTGTTAGAAGTTGGGCCTCAGCTGTTTTTCTTGAGTGTTTGGCTTGTAATGACCGGTGCATGCCTGGCTTCTGGCCTCATACCCAGCTCTATTCTCTGCACACCAGTCCTGAATAGCTACAGTGCTCAACCGAATTTTGGCGCGCCCGCTTCCCCGGCAGGCTCCAACCCGGCGCGGCCCGGAGGCTTCCCGGGGGCCAACAGCCCAGGACCTGTCGCCGATCTCTACGGCCCTGCCAGCCAGGACTCCGGAGTGGGGAATTACATAAGCGCGGCCAGCCCTCAGCCGGGCTCAGGCTTTGGCCACGGCATTGCTGTAAGTACCCGCCTCCCCGGCCCTTCCACCTGCCCTTTCCCAACCCACTCCTTTTGGCCCATGGGGAGGCTGCACCCACAAAGCCCAGAACTGAAGAGGAGAGGGACCTAGAGGACAATGAGCCAGCTGCCAAGGGCTGAGCCCCTCCATCTAGACACCTTGGGAGGGAGGGGAAGGTGTAAGGGGAGTTCAGGTTCACATTACCACTCCATCACCTGGAGCCATGTACATAATCCACCCGAGCCTCGAGTCCCTAGCTGCAGCATGCCTTCCTCAGAAGATGGGACGAGGAGGCAGGATCTGCATGATCCTTGGTTCCCTAATCCCCTCTTTTCGGAAATTCTCTTGTGGGCTGGGACCTCAGACAGGACGTGCCACTGCCCCATAGCCTACCTCGGGCCCTACCTCACTGCTGGGTGGCAGCTCCCTGTCCTGGGGAAACACTGCTACCCAGGAGGTGGGGTGGGGTGCGAGACCCTTCCCAGACAGTTCCCTCTTCCAGTGTCCAGGTTGCAAGTAAGTTCTTTAGCTGTGGCTCCCCGGAAGGCCAGATGCATTGGACATTTGTAATGCTCTGTGGTTCTATAATCTGACTAATCCAGGCAATGGAGATTTGCTTAACCGATTTGCATGCTGTTTTCAGATTGTATCGTTCCTCTCCTCCCAGTGTGTGTGAGCATGAATGTGCCTGAGCCCACTCGCTCGCTGCCCCTTCTGTTTTTGAAAACAGAGAACCAGCCAGCCTCTGCCCTGGCCAGCCTCGCCATTTTGGAGGCTGCTTGGTGTTGAGCTGAGAAGGGTGTGTCCACTGTCCATGGTCATGTCCTCCCACTGGGACTCTACTTCCTGGGAGCTGCACTGGGGAGAACAGTGTACATGCAGACCTTCTCAGGCACCAGGGTGGCCTTATTCATGCCCCCAGCATCAGAAGCCTTCCATGTGTAGTCACATTTGTCTGTACACACCTACATACACACACAGACACACACAGCTGCTGCCCCTGGCCCATGCATTCGGAGTCCTCATCCAGTCCACTCACAAGCCAGGCTCAGTTAGGTCAGTAGTTTGAAGAATCCAATCCCCTCAGACCCACTGATATCCAAACTCCAAATTAGGAGCCTTCTGTTGAGAACTGCATGGTGTGGGGGCCCATCGACTGCCACGTAGAACATGACTCCCTGCCAGCCTCAGCATCCACAGACACAGAACCCATCCGCACTTGAAAGCTGCAGTTTGGCCCCTGCGGGCTGCCATGCCCACCCTGCGTGGTCTGCATTGGCATGTCTTCTCTCCAGCTGCAACCAGTGACGCTATAGACAGAGACTCCCATCTTTGCCCTGTGGGGTTCAGGGCAGCCATGCCTATCATTTGGGGCACAAGCCCCCAGTTCCCACCATACTCCCCCACTCTTCTGAATCTCGCTCTTGATTTTCCCTGGATGATAAGCAGGCAATCTGGGGGAGGGAACCGGGGAGGGGAGTGGGACTGAAAGGTAGGCACTGGGGACATATCCTCCCCAAAGCCCCCAGCCTCTAGTGGCACCTGCAGTGTCTCAGAGTCACATATTCATGCTGGCAACCACGGACTAGCCCTAGAGATAATTTCCTTTCCCTGAAAATGACAATCTGTTCCCATGTATAGCACACTGATGACCTTAACAATTGTGCAATTTTAGGGACCTTTGATTGCAACGGCCTTTACAAATGGATACCATTGAGCAGGTGCTTTCGTTGCCATCTCGCCCTGAGGTATTACCGTCTCTGCCGTGTGTGTCCGCCCTGCCGGCCTGTCCGTACGTGTATGTGCCCTGGTCATACATGGACGCGCATGCCCTTGTCTTGTCCCATCAACACCTCCTTCTCTCCTCTCTCTGGACCCCTTCTCAGTGGGGTGGGGGCCAAACCAAATCCAGCTGTTTTCATTTCTCATCCCTTCCTGCAGCTTCCAATCATGACCCCCACCATCTCACTTTTCTTTCTTTCTCTCCCGTGATTGGGTTATTTTGATTCCTTTGCTGTATCTTCCCCATCGCTCATCTTTCTCTGTCTCGAAATGCAATCAAGAGTGTGGGAAACTGGAAGGAGATCATGTATGCCCGTCCCAGGGGGATGGTGACAGGGATGTGCCCAGCTCAGGTCCGGCAAGCTGGCCCTGCAGATGGCTGGATCTCCAGGACAGCCTGGAGCCCACTGGTGGCTCAGTCAGTGGGGCATGTGCAAACAGCCAGGCTCCATCTTTCAGTATAAAGAAAAGATTTTTGCCAGTAACTACTGAGAGATTATCCAAATTGTCACACAAAAGGCAAATTAAATGAACAACATCACCTGCATAACATGGGTTTGGATCCCTGCCAGTTTCCTAACCTTTTAAACTCAGCTCAAGATAATTAAAGATTTTTAAAAACGTTTTGATGGTGATGTGGCGGGGTGGGGAGCGTGGATTGGAGGAGACAGGAGGCCGGGGCAGTAGGGGAGCCAGCTTCTGGCCGTGTTCTTATTGGAAAGCAAGCATCTCATTCTGGGGGAGAGTGAATAGGGGCTGGTGAGAGTTCTGGGTGTGTGCTGTGGTCACACAGTCTTTCAGGCAGTTAGGACAAGGGTCTGTCTCTTTAGAGATGAGAGAGTGACAGCTGAAGCCTGGTGTGGGTCCCACTGGGACAGTCTCCTGTAGGTAAGCAGAGCAGAGACCTAGGAGAAGGTGGCGAGGCCAAATGTGAGGCTGTCACTTGGGATTGTAGGAGAGAATCACTCCACAGAGGGTACGTGGCCAGTGAGGGCAGGGAGAGAGGCCAGGCAGGTTAAAGTTGAGCTCCATGAATCTAACGGATTTCTCTAACGTTGCTGCTAAGGAATCACCTCCACTAATGCAACCGCCTCTCCTAACCAAATAAATCATGTGTGTGACTCCACCCAGCCCTCGCCTCACCTCCCTTCCAGTGCTGACCCAGCCATAGCTGGCCAGAGCCAGAGGCCACTAACAGTGTGAAGGGGAGAGCTACTTGCTACTAATAAAGCTGGGTGTGGGGGCCCAGACACAGCCAGTGTCCTCTGAGAGCAGAAACCCATGTGTCAGAGATCCTGGAGACCCAAGATAGTTCCAGCCATGGGTAGGGTCCGATGCCAACTGGTGGCTGGGCCCTCCCCAGGGAGAAGGAGATGGACTGGGGCTCCCAGCCCAGAGCTGCACGTCCTTCAAGGCCTCTCCCATTTTCCCAGGGCAGCTCAGTCTCCCTCTTCTGACTCCAGGACCCAATTCCTAGAAAAGGAGGAAATAAGCAAAAACGAAGCTCACCCTCTCCCATACAGATCAGTGAAGGACAGGTCCAGTGTACATTTTGTGACCCTCTGTCCTCTAGTGCCCATCACAATTGAAAGGCCCAGGTCCGGGGTCACTTTGGGGAGGCTACAGGTTTCCTGTAACCCAAATGGTTCCCTATTGTTTTTATGCCCTGATCTTTCCTCCTTAGTATACAGTATGATTAAAAACAAACAAAAAAATCATTGATTTGAAAAGCAGAGTGGCAGAAAGAAAGAGAAACAGAGATCTTCCATCTGCTGGTTCACTCCCCCAAATGGTCTAAGCCAGGCTAAAGCCAGGAGTCAAGAACTCCATCTGCATCTCCCACAGGGGTGCAGGTCCCCAAGTAACAGGGCCATCTTCCACTGCCTTCCCAGGTGCATTAGCAGGGATCCAGACCCGAAGCAGAGCAGCCAGGACTGGAACTGGCATATTGGTATGGGAAGCAACATTTTAACCCACTGCACCACAGCACTACCCCTCTGTAATCTCCCCCCTGTTTTTAGTACAAATAATTCTAGTTATTAGCATGTATTGATTGGTACTTGGTAAAGACAGAGTTGTTTTCAGAAAGCATGATGCTTTAAAAACACAAGTTCAACAGACCACTACTTCTGGTTTAGGTGCACATTGGCCCAACCCCCAAATGACCACACTGCCTGACCACATTTTCCTCCGTGCGGCAGGTTAGCAGGGTGTGCATACAACAACCTTCTCCCTGGACTCAGGTGTGGCTTAGCTGGCAGATTTCCCAGGCTATGATAGCTGGAAGCTGAAGTAACCTGGCCATATCTGCACCTCCTCTGTGGTGGTGGTGGTGGTGGTGGTGGTGAGAACGTTATCCGAAACGTTGCCATCTGTTGGTTGTGTCTCTGCCTGACCCTTCTCCTCTCTCTTCCCATCCCCACTTTATGTTCCTTTTCCGCCACACCTGACCTTCCCTGCCCTACAGAGCATACCTGGATGTCCAGGCAAGACTGGGCGAAGTTTCTGAGTGGTCCTTTGTTTAGGTGATGTCCTCGGACCCGGAACCCCACCAGCCTCACTCCTCATCCCAACCAGAGATGGCTCACTTCGGACGGAGGGTTGGCTGCATCTCATCATCTCACGATACTGCTGTAATATACAACAACGGCTTTTAAATGTGTATATAACCCATGATTCTGGTTCTGTTTGGTTTTGTTTTGTTTTCTTGATGGTTTCCTGTCCCCGTTTCTCTTCCCCTTCTCCTTTGAAATCTCCTTGAATCACGTTTGGGTAGTGATTTTGACTTAGTCTCGTAGTCACACAGCTTTAATATCTAGGTAAAAAGCTAACCATAGTATAATTGTCATATTAAGGATATTTTTTTTTCTTTAAAAAAAGATTTTTTTTTTTGCTTGTTTTGATTCTGTTTTCACGTTGAAAGGATGTTGAGATGGTAATATAACTCTCAATGTTTTGGTACCAGTTCTGAGACTATGAAATTTCAGGTGGAACCTAGCACACACACTGAAGCGAAGTTGTGACGTGGGAGTGGGCGGTGGGCTTGCGCTTTCTCCTTTGCGTTGTAGCAGTGAGGTGTAGTAGGCTAATGAACCGACTCTAGCATTTCTTTGGTGTGATGTCTCTTTGTTAACCTCAGTCTATCTATTTTCGGCAATAAGGTAAGGACGACAATGTTTTCGGAGTGTCCTCCTTTTTATAAGTGCTTTTTCTTTTCTGTTGAAAGAGGTGATATTATAAGGTTTTTTGAAATTGTGAATTCTAAAAGAGAAATGTTGTAAATACAATTCCATTAACTACATAGAAACTATTAAGAAAGAGAGAATCAAAAATATTTTTGTGAGGGCGTCGGTCCCAGGCAGTTTGATGCTCCGCGGAAGGAGGAAGGAAGGAAAGCTGGACAAAGCGGGTGACCGAGACGGGCACCCTGGCTGCCCGGCCGGCCCCAGGAACCCGACAGCCGTGCTGAGCTGCTTGTCTGCGCGATCGACCTGTGTTACGGTCATACCAGCCTGTTAACCTCTCGTCTGTGCACAGCTTCAAATGTTACCGGCTAGTTAGGTTTTTATTTAAAATATGGAAAACTGCTTTTCCCAAGACATTTAAAAAGAAACAAAGCTACAATTTTAATATTTAACATATTTAAAGTTTCAAAGCACACCTGTTTGGCTTGGGTAGAAGGGGTGGGGGGGCATCCTTTTTCAGTCTTAATTTTTAAATATTTGATCATTTTCTATTGTCCGATCATTTCAGCGCCTCCAAAGGTCTTTAGGACACCCTGCCTGTCTTCTCCCCCTGCCCCCAACCCTGTCCCAGAACCAGGGGACCGTGGGGCAGGTGCAGAAGCCCCTGCCTTCATCCCACCCTTTCTCCATTCACTTTCTATTTACAAATTAGGAAAGCAACCTTTTGGTTTATATATATATTTTTTAATACCTCAGTGCTGCAAGTATCACCAGAGAGGCTATGGAAGAAATTTTTTTTTTAATTTATTATAGATGTAAACAGAATTTTAAAAATAAAAAGTATAAACATCACTGCACTGTGACTGGTGGGAAAAACTGACAATTTCCTGTTTGCACATGCTTGACATTGGCTGTTATAATATATGGTCCTCGGTCAGGGAAAGATACTTATGATGAAGGATATTTTTTAATTTAACTTTTTTTTAAATGTTGGTACTAGGTCGGCAACAGCAACTGTAGAAGTACAACTCAATAGATGGCATTAAAACCTATTGTAGTGTGGATATATATTTTTTTTCTTTTTTAAAATGTGATATTGACGTTTTATTAATATTTTTTAAATTGTTACGTTTATAAATTTGGTACTTAAGGCACAGCCAGTATGAGACACTGAATGCGACATTTATTATAAAGAGCTGCTGCACTCCTATTTTTATAAATTTTACTAACGAAGTAGACTAATGTAGACATTCACAGACGCGGTAGGGCAAACGCATTTTCAAATGAAGAACTCCAAAATGCTAACTCAGAAAGAAAGAAAAAAAAAAACAGCCTTTTTTCAATTCTAATTAAATAGCAACGAGATTAAAAAAAAATCATAGACTTTGTTTTCATGTCAGGTTGTTTGATGACCTTTTTGGCTTTTTGGGGGAGGGGATTTGTTTTTTTTTCCCCTTCCCTTTTTTTTTTTTTAATTTCCAAACAACCAGATTAAGTAACATGCTGTACGCTTTTAAAAAAGATCTCAAAACTTGTTCAAGTACTAAAATAACAAAATAGAAGTTTTATTAAAAAAGAAAAAAAAAAGAAAAAAAGAGACAGTAATTCCCAGAAGCGCAGTGTCTAGCCTAGGAGAAAACGACTCCTTCGTCCCTGTCGGTGTTGTATGTATGGAGCCCCCTTTCCACCTCATAGCGACTCTTCGTTGATCATTGTCTATTAATAATGTATACAATGGCTATCTTGTAAGCGTGCTGTCCTGGAACTAGTATAGTGACTTTTTTTCTCCTCTTTCTTCTAGTACATATTGATAGGTATAACATAATTAAGGTTTAAAAAAAAATTAGACATAGCTATTCAGATTTAGGACCAGTAAGGATAGAACTTTCTCTTATATATATTTAAAAAAAAAATTGCTAATGATTTTGGGGCAGTTTTTTCCTTTAATTTTTTTGTTTTTCAATTTCAAGTTTAATTTTTCCTTTTGCTGATCTGATGTGGTTTCAACTAACCCAAGGTCTCACCACGTTCAAATGCCAGCTGACTCTGCGGCATCCTGTAGATCCCCACCCTCCTTCTCCGTGAAGGGGCGTGCCATACTACCTTAAATGCTAATGCCAGATATGCAAAACTGGATTTTTTTAATTTATTTTTTAAAAGAGGGAGGCATGGTATATTAAAATGATTTTACAAAGAGAAAAAAAAATATTTTTTTAAGAATGCTCAGAAGAAATTGCTAATCTGTGTGAATATGTTTTAGATGTTTATATACCTTTTGAAGAGACCCAGTAGCCCATAGCACAATCTTGTGGAATCTGATATGTTTTCATGTGGCTACCTAGGTTGAGGTTCACGTGAGTCCCCCCCACCCCCTCATTTAGAAGTCCATTTTGAAACGTTTTTGTAAATTCTTTGAGCACTGATGTTCAGCCTTTGTCTTGGTTTCGGTTACACTCAGTGGCACACTCGGGCACCACCCTTGACCTGCCCTAGGGGAGAGACCCTCCTGCTGACGGCTTTGCGAGGAATCACCCCGGAGACGCCAGGCGGGCATCCCTGTGGCCGCCAGCTCCATCTGCCTGAGACCCCGGAACTCCTCTCCTCCTGAACAGAGAGCAAGTGGCATTAGTTCTGGGATTCATTCCTGGTGCCGCCTGGACTTGGGGGCTTGTGGAGGCAACCAAGCCTTTGGTCTTCCCTCCGGGAGCCCACGCAGACCTGGTAGTAGCCTTCCTCCTACCCCGTGGGGAAAACCAAACAGCCTTGCGCTCTGTCCCAGGCGCCCACTGGCTTGATTCCAGTGAAGCCCCCACAGGCCTCTGCGTTTTTATCCTCCATAACCATCATCTTAATTTGAACTCATAGCTTGGACTTTAAGGTAGCATGGCTCTATTGCTGTCGAATGCATCATTGCACAGCGATTCACAGCCAGTGAATGTTACACACATCTTGCTAGACTAGGATAAAAATCATTGGGTAATTGTTGGTTCTAACGACCTGAAAGGTGTTCAGTTTTCATTTGTGTTTTTGTTTTGTTTCTTAAGTTTTTGATTTGGGGGGGGTGGGGGAGGAGTTCTTTTTTTCATTTGGGGATTTCAGAAAAAATAAAGATTATTTTTGGTTCCAGATAGAGAAACAAAATCTATTTTGATCTTGAGTGCAAACGAGGGCTAGGGACTTAGCCTCCACCACCACACTGCGTCATCCGCCATTCACTCGCTGCAGCATATTCAAGAATAAAGCAATATGGTTTACTACATTTTTTTATCCAAGGTCAGCCATGCTTTCTGTATTATATTGCATATGAAATTGTTTACAAAGGAAACACTAACTCATACTTCTCTTTATCAGTTGGAAGTGGCACACAGAGACAGGGAGACGGGGAGGGGGGCAGGAAGGGAAGAATTTTTTTTTCCACAAATGTGCTTCACCAGCCAGGCCATCTTCCAAGAAAGGAACAGCCAGGTGGGGGCGACAGGGAGAGAAGAGGGCCAGCATGCAGTGAGCGCACCCGTGGAAGACACTGGCGAGTTCCCTCCCCTCACCCCAAAGCTGAAAGTCAGCTTAGCCCAGTCCTGGGCAGACACTACACAAGGACATGCTGGAAGTTAAGCAATACTTTAATACTGTAATATGTTTTCTTTTTTTTTCTTTCTTTCTCACCAAAAAAAAAAAAAAAAAAAGGAGGTAAACTAAACAAAAACATATATTTAAAAACAAATACCAAACCCACCCCTCTCGGGGAGAAACCCAAATCCGAACCCTCGGCTCTCAGCTCATCAGAGTGCGTGGTCTCAGACAGGACTTTATTTGCGGGCGGCAGGGCTGTGAGGGGAGAGGGGACTGAGAGTTCCGGAGCCCGCGCGGAAGGCTCCCTACTGCTGTATTCTGTACATACTGTACCATCCCGTGTGGGACCTGTGGCGTCCTCTTCAGTACTGTGGGCTAGCCGATCTGCCTTTCATGGTGTGTTGTAAACTCGGAATTCCATATGTAATAGGATGCAAGTCGAAGCGTTTCATGTGACATCAATGTATCTCAATAAAACTTTCCCTAGCACTGTGGCTGACCTCACCCTTACTTTTATACTTTAGTATGAAACTGATGAGAACTTTGGTAGTGAGTATTTTTTTTATATATATACATATATATGTATCTATCTATATATATATCTCAAGCATCTTTCAGGTCTTCGTGTGTGGCTTTCTTAAAGCCCTGTTGTAAAAAATTACTATGTGGATGGCAGTCTCTCACATCACAGATGTGGAAAGTATAATTTTATATTTGTATTTTCAAATAAATAAGTTTGTGAAAGGTTTCCATCCTCTACTGTGGTCCAGGAATCAATGTGTTTGTCTGACAAAAAAAAAATAAATAAAATAAACTGTTTTGAACAGAGTTGTTGGGTGTTGTTTTGCTTGAGGAGGAGGAAGGCTGGAGTTGGGGAGGGCTCTGGATGGGGAGAGGGGTGTCTGAGCCACAGCTATCTCCCCTGGCACTCAGCATGAACGTCAAGAGAGAGGAAAGATATGGAACCTTCTGCATGAGGGACAAGGAATCGGGTAGATAGGTGGTTGGGTGGGCTCAGGACCCAGAGGTGGGCCAGACAATCACAGGTTGGGCGGTGGTGGGACTCAAATCAGAGAAGGTGTGGCAAGGAGCTGTCAATGACAGTTGGAGGAGATCACTATTTTGGATAAAGCCCCCTGCCACGCTGGAACACAGCCACCCCAGACTGAAAGTCAAAATGGCGTCACTCATGCTAAGGTCCCGCAGCACCAGAGTGGAAGCTGTGGAAGAGGCCACAGCCACATGGTCCAGATGTGGTGGGGTTCCCTCTGCTTCCACCCTTACACCAAAATGTAACCCTAACAATGTTAAATCATCAGTAATTTTTTGTTGCCTGTCTCCCTGTTTTTACCTTACAAGTGAAGTGACTAACTGGTTATTTTTTTAAGCTGTTTCTGCTTTTTTCTTTTTTTCCTTTTTAAGCCTTTGTAAAGCCAACATCTTCTGCCCAGCCTATCCACAGAGGTGGGGAACAACTAGCCCATGGACTATAGAAGACCTACCAAATCATATGGTCTGGCCCTGCCAAGGTAACCACAGGCAGGACTTGAAATTCAGTGAATCTATGGCAGAATTAATTTTGAAGTTGGGACTTTCATGTGGCTCAAAAATGATGTTACACATAACCAAATGGCCCTTGGCAGAAAAAAGCTTCCCCGTTGCTAACTGGAACCCTTATTCTGTTTTATGGAATCAAGTGTTGCCCAATGCTGGAATCAAAACTCAAACCAGTAATTATGATTAAACTGCCATGATTTTTTGCTTTACTGGAGCTAAGAGGCTCTTCCAACTGCAGGCTGGCAGTGTATAGGAGAAGGCACCAGACTAAAGGCTTTGACCCTGGAAAAGGGCTCTGCTTCCCAGTGCAATCAAAGCTTTGCCTAATGGAGACTAATAGGATCACAAAACTCAAGGCCGAGAGGTATGTTGTCTACAGTACTTCCAACCTTCCACCAAACTACTGTGAGAAAACAAAAGAACCAAAGCGGTGAATCAGGACACACACCAAGGCCTCGCAGTGGGGACAGAAGTACCACCTGAACCAGGGAGAGGGCCTGATCCTGCCCCCGTAGCTACTTCCTCCAGGCCCTAGAAAAGCCCGGATTCTGGGAGTTAACCATGCTAGGACCTTCCTCCAGCTTCCTGTTTCCTGCTCATAACAACTTGAGCTTAGGGGCATTCCTGTATGCCTAGGTCCTAACAGAAATGCCCTCCTTTACTAAGACTGGGGATGGCAGTGGGTGGGTCCACACCCACATCCTGTGTGCCCACCTGCAAAGCAGCAGCACTCCACAGTGTCTGCTGTGGGAAACTCCAAGCTCAGAGAGTTAAGAGCCCTTATGGGGGATCTTAGAAATCGCAGTTCAAGAGTCAGGGTCAGGCTGCTCTGAAACAGTGTTCTGAGAAAGCCAGAAGTGAAGGCATGTGTGTGGGCTGTCCCGTGTTGAGAAGGAGCAGGTTCTGGGTTACCGGTAAGTGACAAAGGAAACAATGAACAAGCAGGATGGACATGTCCATACCACAGGAGTCTGCTAGCACCTTGTTGTGCATCTTGAGCCTGTGGACCTGTCAAAGGGTGGAGGTCACAGGGTTCACGTTCTAGACGGTTCCTGGAATCCACACAAGCCCTGATGCTGACTGGCCAGCTTCCACTCTAGTGTACAAGGCCAGGGCAGGAGGGCAGAGGCACCATCTGAACCAGGGGAGAGAGCAGGCCTGATCCTGCTCCCATAGCTACTTCCTCAAGGCCCACAAAAGTGAAGGACCGATGGGAGCTGATCAGAGAAATCCCTTCTGGGAATCCTGGGCCAGTAATCCTGCAATGAGAGAGAGGCCCTTGGGGTCATTTTCATCTGACCAGCCCAGGATGGGCTGAGGCTCAAGAGAGCAGGGAGCAGGAGCACCACCTTGTGCCAGGGCACATCCACGTCCCGATCGGCTCTGCAGCTGAGCATCTACCTTCTAATACTCAGGATTTGGGTCATATGACTGCTCAGTGGCAGAATGGAATCCATCTTCAGGATGGATTCAGAGCTCCAGTCTGCTGACAAACATCGTTAGAGCCTGCCCACAAACGTGGAGGTGACTACTCTGACCAAAGTGCCCACTGCAACCAGCAAAGCGGGCCCAGAAAAGAATATTGATCAATCTGGTGTTTTAGTGTGTCATAGACCCACATGAAAACATAGAAAACAAATTAAATCAACAAAACCCAAGGAAAGGAAAATAAACAATATGAAATAAACAGTATACAAAGTTGGACAGAAGGAATAAAATCAAGTAAATCTACCATTATCTTAAAATATCAATGGATTGTGGGGCTGACACTCTGGTGTAATGTAGGTGCCAGCTCAGGTGCCAGCTGCTCCATTTGTAAGCCAGCCCCCTGCCTACAGCCTGGTAAAGCAGCAGAGGGTCCTTGGGCCTCTGCACTCACGCAGGAGACCCTGGCTTCAGATAGGCCCAGCTCTGGCTAATGGCCATTTTGGGAGTGAACCAGCAGGTGGAAAATTGCCTCCTCTGTAAATCTGCCTCTGAAATAAAAGTGTGTCAAAAAATATATCAATGACTTGCATTTTCTACCACTATAAAATAGAGAAGCATCTGTGTTTAGAGAAAAGTTTATGTACTGTATCCTCAAGCACAAACTGACAAGAATGAAAGTAAAGGAATGACAGAGAGAACAGGCAAATATAAAAAGGGGCAGGAATTGAGATGTCCGTATCAGTGTGAAATTTAAAGTTAAAAGCACCCACACCATGACACAAGCTACAGAGTAGTAAGATAACAGTGGGAATAAATACTATGACAATGCTATGCCTCAATCACTACAGGAACCTTTAGAAGCTATTAAAACAATAAGAAAAATAAATTTGAAAAAAAACCTGGAAATGCAAAGAGAACTTGATGATAAGCACAGCTGTAGAGACATTTTCAGACCTGTCTCAGAACTAGACATTTAACAGACAAAAAAAGAAGAATCTTATGATGTGTTTGGAAAACCTAACCTAATGACTCCATTCAGAATGTTTGAGAATATATTTCTTTATAGTGTAGGAAATTTTGGAATATACACAGAAGTCAAATTTTAACCAGTTCAGAGCTTTAGTTACACTGAACACTGTCAGCACTTGGTACTCAGGTGTTTGTTCTAACGTGTTGTGAGATCCTGGTGTGATTTTAATTTGTGTTTCTCTAGAAAGTAATGGGCTTGAACATCTTTTTATGTGCAGTTGACATCTGTATATCATCTTTGATGAAGTATTTGTTCAAAACTTTTGCCCAAATTTCCATAATTGAGCTATTATTGAATCTAAGGTTTATCTTTTAGTTGAAAGAGGGACAGTGAGAGAGAGACATATAGAGTGACCTTCCATCCACTTGTTCTTTCCCCCAATGGCTGCAATGGCCAGAGCTGAGGCAGGCTAAAACAAGGAAGGTGGAACTGCACCTGCGTCTCCCACACATCCTCAGGCCATTTTCTGTGACTTTCCCAGGCGAATCAACAAGGATCTGGATGGGGCACGGAGCAGCGGGATTCTGACAGGCTCGCACATGGGATGAAGGCAGAATGTTTCACATGTGTGTATTCTAAATACAAGTCCATTATCTGATACACACCTCCAGATACTTTCCCCGGTTTTTGACTTGTCTTTTTATTGTCCTAATAATATCTTGCAAAGAGCAAAGTTTCTTTCATTTTACAAAATTCAACTTACTAAGCTTTTTCATGAATTATGTTTTTCATGTCATAGCTACAGAATCATTGTCTAACTTCAAGAGCATGAAGATGGTCTATGTTTTTCTTCTACAAGTTTAGTAGTTTTTCATCTTACTTTAAAGTCTATGGTCTATCTTGAGTTAACGTTTATGTACAGCATGAGATATAAACTGAAGTTCATTTATCCACAAATTGAAATCCAGTTATTCCAATACTATTTGTTGCAAAGAATATCACTTATCTACTGAGTTGTTTTTGTCTTAAATCAGCTGACCATGTTCGAGTAGGTTTTCTTAATTCTGCTCTCTTCTGCAAATCTGAATGTCTTGGTTGTACTTTTATTGTAAGCATTATAATCAGGTACAGTTAC